GAGTAGAAAATCTGTCATTGGCAAAGAGAAAGCAAATGTTAGCTTGCCAGCAACAGAAGTTTCAATACTTCATTGATTATGGCTTGAACTATTGCTGAGTGAGACATCTCTGAAACTGTGCCTTAGACCAGCTGAGCTCCCTTGAGTGCAACCCAGCTGCAGCTTCCAGGGCCTCAAATGATGCCTTGCTGCACTGCACTGTGAACATGTACCAGGATGGTCAGCACTAGCATGGGGATTTCTAGCACTGCACTCTACAGTCTGACATAAGCATGGGCTTGGCATGTTTCCTCTTTGTTCCATTAAGTTTCCATTATTTCCAATTTGCTTAGAAGGGGGTAGCTGTTTCCTGATAGACCGATTGTCACCTAAACAAAGGCAAAGATCGTTATCAAGCCATTCTGGCCCTTTGAGAAGGCAGGATGAGAGGAAAGGAGAACGTTGGAGAGAGACTTCAGAGCAGAGCCTTGTCATTCTAGGGTCAGCATTTTCACTGGAGACAAGCACCTCCGGAAAGGGATTAGGATCATCATAAGCCCTTTAGAGGAATTTTGCTGAAGTCGTTTGTGAAAGTAATTCTTTCCTACCCTCCCTTTCTCAGCTAAGGAAAGATTTAGCTGCAGTGGCAGAGAGGTTCACAAGTTCCTAGAAAATTCAAGGCAAGCACCACCTGGATGTGCCTGGAAGGCTCTGTGTCCACTCCTAGTCATCAGAAAGTGAGCCAAGGCAAACACAGCTAAGGATCCAAATGGTCAAGAGCTCTAAGTGGCTTTCACTTGCTCTGTGACCTGAGGGACAAAAGGCTCTCTTGTGTCCTTATCCCCAGCAAATGGAAAGCTGTGGTTGTCCTATGGGCAGTGATGGTACCCAGAAGTTCAAACTTACATTGAACAACACCTCATTTCAGTTCGGCTGCAGTCGCATCTGTGGCAATCTTCTGTCCTCTCAATGTGTCCAAGGGGGTACAGTTTTCCATTCAGCATACAGCCTGCAGAAGACAGCAGCAAAACAGAACATGTTCTTTAAGCCTCCACCTAAAGGCTGCAAAGTTTAAAAATTATTTGAAGTTTTCTGAAAATTTTTTTCTCGGCATTATTAAATTAGAAGTAATTTTGTTCTCTGTGTTATTAGCCTAATTATTTGGAGGCTGTGAATTCTTTTCTTCTTTACTCATTAAAGAGGGTTTCCGTGTGACAGATCTGGGATGAAAGTGAGCAACCAAACAGCCAGGTCTGCCACCTGGCACCACATTTTATTCAGATCTACTCTCAACTGCTGCATCGGCTCCAGATGCTGCAATAGCAATAGCAACCTATCACCAATAGCAATAATATTGCTGCAGCCACGCTCAGTCCAGGGTGAGACTTTGTTTTACCCCTACTTTTGTCACCTCGGTGCTGAAACCTCCTATTTGTGTTTTTCTGAAATCTGCCTCCTCCCTTGTGTTTTGAGCCCGTCCTGGAAGCTCCACACAGAGCCAAGCTACTACAGAGCAATCAAGTGAGAGGATCTTGTCTGCTCTTACCTTTGTCAGCCTTCCCTGGCTTGTAACGTTTACTAAAGCAGTATGCATCACCCAGGGCCACGATGATGCCCATTGCAACAAGGAAAGCCAGAAAGCTTTTCTGTAAAAGAAACACAGAGCCCATGGTATGACTTTAATTCCACGTTGATTATCTCTGTTTTCAAAAGCTGTCACTGAACCTGAACCAAAATTACAAATAACCTTATGTGTACATGAAAGTAGTGGAAAATGACACTCCAGGTATTTCACTGCATTGCTTACTTTTTCCTGTACTTGGGAACATACAAAATGCTATGACGTAGGTTTTTTGAAATAGGTGGCTGGGTAGAGAAGAGAGATACAAATTGGTGTCTTAGGACAATATCTGAGTGTGGTACATTGTGCTCAGCTTCACCTGAGCCATCTTGTTAAACCATGCATACACAGGTTTGGACTCTTCACAGGCCATACTTCCTTTTGACTACTGCTGGCAACAGCTAAACATCTGTAAGAGTTCTTCAGATATGTCCTCTGGGACCTGCTGAACAACCAGCACTTCTTTTGAAAAAGCCTGCATAACTTTGTAATAATGGTTATTCTGACAGAGGGACTGGAGGAATATGAGAGAGCACAGGATTATTTTGATGGCTTGCTCCAGCTGGATAACTTAAGGCAAAAGTTTAGGAATGGCCAAAGACTGAGAAACAATGGAGGAAGTTACATAGATTTTCTTGATAGCACTGGCAGGCTAACATGAAAGGATTTTAACATGAGTAGATCTTTCCAAGTTACTATTCTGAACTTCAGAGGCTGTGGCTGCTTGAAAATGGAGTTTAAAATAGCAGGGAGAAGCATTGGGTTTAGGCACCTCTGCTTTCTGCCTTGGGTTGCTTGAATCACAAATGCCAAAAGACACTTAAAGGTCCTGAACCTTAGGCAGATGGTGAGCCAAGGTAAAACTCCTGCTGCTGTGGAAAAAACTTGGTATTTTAATCCTTGATGTGCTGCTTTCTTATGGGGCTGAATGACATTTCTGATGTAGTGAAAGGGAGGAGGAGGATTTATGGAGTGGTCTGGGAAGGATATAATATTGAATTTCCACAGCGGTTCTGTGATTGGTAGTTCCTGAGGCTTTAGGCTACAACAGAGGCAGTTGCCATGCTGAGCACCACCCCCAGAACGAGAGAAGTTAAGAAGAAAAACTTAAACTCTTCAACTGTGCTATTCTGTGGTGCCTGGCCATAGGAAAATGTCTAAGCAGCTCCTGTTCCATGAAGCTGTAGGATGAAACATTGCAGCTGGTCTCTGTTGAGGCTCCCTGTGCATTTGGCATGAATCTGTGGGGTTCTCTGTGTTGTGCAGCTGCCCTGGGCTTTGGGAGGGCAGGGAATTGTGGCTTTCCACACAGGATCTATCTCAACATGCTTGGGATGCTGTTTGCTGTACATTAGACATCCAGCTGGAGTTTGGGGATGGCTTTCCTCCACACTGGTTCAGCAGTTTGCAACAGCACATACAGTGCCAAGGCATGTCCCTCATGTCTTTGTTGCAAATTCTAAAATGCTTCTTTTGCTGTGCTGTCTTCTGTGAATGTTTTATCCCTTGTTTGTTCCAACGTTTGTCCTTGTCATGCTGTTCTTAGAAATGCCAGTCAGATGAGCTTGGGCATGCTCCTCTCTCTAAAGATCAACGTTCTGGAACTTCCACTGAATCTAGGATATCAGAGATACAGGGGGAAGTCTGTGCTGTTCAGTCATTGTCTGAACTGACTTCATGCTGCAGCCAAAGGATATGTCAGATAAGTAGCAGAAATCTAGCAGTAAAGCTTAAGCAGAGAAAGAAGCAGATGATCATTTCTTCCCTATTTATGAATCAGCATGTCTCATAGAAAGTACTGCTTCTTCTCTAGAACTTATGCCATTCCTGAGATTCTCATCAAAGGTAGTAATTGATGTCTGTACCTTCAGGGATTACGTGAGCACAAATTAGAGGAAAACTAGGCCAGAAGCTTTGTCTACCTATTTAGCTCGACCTAACTTGATTCAGATTCTGCAAACACGTTTGGAGGCTTGAAGAGCTGAAACAGCACACAACCTGAGAGATCAAAAGAAAAGAGCAGACAGGATATGCAGACAAAATATACATTTCTTTCATTATAAAGCCACTCTATTTTAGACTTTCACATTGATAGGTTTTAAAAGCATGGTCCTAAATGTTTACAAAATTCTGAATGATTTCACAACCGTTTCTGAGGACAGGATAACAGCAAGTGAAAGACTAATCTGTACAGTTTCTTGCAAAGAATTCAAATACAAAGAAAAAAATTCGCAGTAATCTTCCCAAAGGTGTCTTACTTCCTTTGCATCCTGCAGTTTTTAAATACAATATGTCCACAGTTAAAATATGTACATAATTTATTCCCTTAAATATTCTTCTTTTGCAGTTTTAAAGCAAATATCTATCTGTATCCCCTTGAAAAATCTAAACCTTAGACTTACCATTGTGGAACCTTGGCTTCCAAAGAGTTCCAAGTCTCCAGAAGAAATCTGAAGGGCTTAATGTAGAATCAGAGAGCGAATAATTTTTGGTGCCTTTATGTTGTGCAGTTCAAGTCTAGATGGGGCAAAAAGAACCTGCTCTTTTTAAAATGCAGTTATGTTGAAATATCTGAAGAAATCACTGAAACTTTGCCAGCTGGCAATGAGAAAGTATTTGATTTTGTAGAACACTGACCTAAGTAAAATGCTGAGTCTAGAACTTTGCATTTCTTGGAAGCATTATTATTAGAAAAAATGCCTTTCTGATGAAACACAAGTATTGATAGCTAAGCTGTAGGCAGTATTATATGGCTAGGTGACTTTTAGCTGTGGCAGGAGTGCATGCTACATAGTTTCTGCTATCAGTGGGCTGGAATATGCTGAGAGTAGTGAACTAGGTGTCAGTAGCAACAGGAGCTTTTGCTGGATGTTTGCAAACTCACGCTTAATGCTGCAGTGTGCACTGAAAGATAACCAACCGAAGGTACTTGGCCATTACCAGTATTAAAGCCACTTAACACTGAGACCTTAATCAAAGCTGGATCACATTACATTTCTCTTTCTCCTCAACCAAAGTAAGAATTTCCTCTCTAATCAAAAGCCTGCTGTTACTCCTGTGGCAGTATTCAGGCTTTGAGTTGAATAACCGTGATAGAGTATATGATCACTTTTATGTGTGCAAAACTTTCACAAGAAATTATAAATTTCAGAGTGCTAATCAAGTACTCTGCTTTTTATTGCTCCTGCAACATCTTTTCAGAAAGAAATACCAGACTGTGGCCCTACTTATATTTAAAAAATACTTGTTGCAGATGCTTCCAAACAATTTGAAAGTTATCCCTGTGGGGCACTTGTCATCTGCTACGGGAAATTTAGCACATGATTTGAAAGCTTAGAAACTTTGAACACAGAAATCCAAGAAAATTTGGCTGTACTACAACTTAAATCATTTAGGGCTCTTTTTTTTTTTCTTTTTTTGAGTAAACTAAATACAGTTATATGCTTTGGAATGGTGGCAAGAAAAGTTGTCATTCCTTTTTTCCTATGCACTATGTATTGCTGAGTACTAATAACAATTCAACCCAAAGAATTCAGCAAAATAAATCTAAATGCATCACAATGTAATTCCATTACCTCCCTAAAGGAAATGCTGAAGTTGAAGTCTGTTGAGGTTTGATAATCCTTTAGTAAGAAATCCATAATTAATGAAAAGTTACTAAGCATTCAGTTTTCAGACTATACACCTGTTTTATTTTTTTCTGATATAATCATTATATTGTAAAACTTACATTTCATGATATTCATGTTTTCATTGAAAAAATTCAATAAATATCCGTTCTCATCCTTTGCTTCTGGCATACTAGATTATTGCACTTTATCATAAAAGTCTTCTTCTTGTGTCTGTTTACAGTGTTTCAAGTCAGCTTACAACCTTTCTCAGGGGAGCACAGCAGTTTTTGTCTTCAGTTCTGTAGCACAGATTTCCTTTCATTCTTGCAACCCATTTCTGAACAGCCTCACACCTCACAGTATCTCATTTAAAATCTAAATATAGAACGAAGTGTAAAAGCTTGTAAGTGTTGTGGAAATGACCTCGGATACTATGAAAGACATTTCCTGTATATATATATCCAAGCATCTCATCCTCTGTCTTAAGCACCATATTGTTTTAGATAGAAAACATTTGCTTTCCATCCCTAAATTCTTCTCAGGGGTGCTGTTGTTAGTACAAATTTTATGCTTTACAGAGTTTTAAAAAATTCCTCCAAAATTTTTTTAAAAATTGTATCTAAAGCATGAATTAAGTAAGAACAGTTTATTTCACTATTAAGACTTAGTCCTTATTTGTCATATTAAGCATTGTTTGGAAACTCTATCGGCAGTGATTGTATATTTTCTCCCAGATCTCATGATATAAGGCTTTCATACAAATGTAGAGAAACTGTAGTTGATGTGCACCAACCTATGTCTTGCACCACTGTAAAAACAGTTCCCTTCCTTTTACCTACCATGTGCATGGGCTTTGCTAACACCAGGTCACTCTGGGCTTGACAGGAAATTTTATGCCAGTCTTTTTGTGGTTTTTTGATAGAGACCTCAAAGCAAGATTGGTTTTGCTTTCAAAGTGCTTGTTAGGCAGAACACCTTGTTCTTCTGCCAGTGATTTCTTGACAAAGATGCTGGAGCTCTGCCAGCTGTGCTGTGGATTGTCTGCTGCTCAGCTGATGCTCCTGTGTGCCTTTGAACCGCCTACCTCAGGATACGCAGATCTTGCTCTAAAAGAATTTAGTCCCTTCTTGAAGTCTTAGATCTGGCTATGTCTTCAGTGAGTTCCTTTTTTAACACACTTTTTTTCCAAGAGTGAGTGCTTCCATAGCACTGCACTAATTTGCTTGTCACCAGTTGTTATGTAGCATGAGGAGAGACAAAACTGCATGACAAGCTCTCCCATGAAAAGTGTGTTATCCTTGTGATCAGCTCTGCCATTTCTGATAATTTTCAATATTCCTATGAAGCTGATAGCTGGATTATGAAAACAGTGTTGAAGATCTGCCTTTTCTGAATGCAAGACTACTAAAAAGCAGATAACATTTTTAAGGCTTTGTTGCTAGGACAACTGTAAGAATTTCATACTTAGAAATTTCCTAGTTTTCCAGCTGAATGCTGCTAAACATGTCTGGTCTCTTTTAACTTCTCAGGAAGACTTTCCTCTGAAGTGTTGACACCTGGACAAATCTCTGAAAAGGTTATCCTGTCCAGCTATTATAGTATTACTTTTTTATTGGTTAGAAGTACCTTTCTAGGACCTTCTAAAGGGCAGGTGGTTTTGTGGTGATGGAAAATGATGCCGTTTATTTACCCTCGTGTTGTCCCCAAAATGTTGTTTCATGACCTGCCAGCAACTTGCTGTTTAAGGTAATCTACTGTTACCAGGCCATTCACTGAGTATATTTTCAGAGCTGGAGAAAGAAAGAAAAGCCTCATCCATCTGGTTTCACTTCCAGGCTATTTAAAAACCCTCCAGTTAAATTGATGTAAAACCTAGTGAGTGTTCTTATTTTATTTTAAAGGTAAACTTTATGGTGATTTACACCAAGCATTAGGTTTAACGAGCAGTTTAATAACAGTAGTTTAAATAAATTCCCTCTCAGCTAAACTGCTACAGAGATTCATTTCAAGTGCAACTAAATGTTTTTGCCCTGGTTTAAAAACTAATTTAAATTCAATACTGTTAAGTAACTCTGGAGTATAAGTAAGAGTTTAGAATAATGTTCTTGGAGAGAAACACCATACTGTAATCTGCTAGGCTAGATTTTCACTGTTGTAGTCAGGAAAGACCATTTCTGTGTATCAGGACTGATTTATAATCTCCAGCAGTAGTCAACCTGCAGCAAGTAAAGAAGAGAAGACCCTGAAGAGACATTATAGCAGCCTTCCAGTACTTAATGGGGGACTACAGGAAAGGTGGGGAGAGCAGTGCTAGGTTGAGGGGTAACGGTTCTAAACTGAAAGAGGGCAGATTTAGGACAGATATTATGAAGAAATTCTTTACTGTGAGGGTGGTGAGATGCTGGAATAAGTTGCCCAGAGAAGTTGTGGATGCCCCATCCCTGGAAGTGTTCAAGGCCATGCTGGATGGGGCTTTGAGCAACCTGGTCTAGTAGAAGGTGTCCCTGCCCATGGCAGAGGTGGGGGTGGAACTATATGATCTTTAAGGTCACCTTCAACCCAAACCATTCTGTGATTCAGTGTTCTTACTTTCCATCAAAAAAGCTTTCCCTTTCAGATCCTGAACAGCCAGAGAGCTGGTGTCCTCATGGAGGATTAATAATTGATGAGAGAATAAGTTTTTTGCTAAGTTCACTCCTGGTTCCATAGAATTTATTTATCATGCAGGTAAATATTTGCACATAAGTCACATAGATAACTAAACCTCCTGAATGTTGGAAGTACAATCTTTAGTTTAAATAGGCTTAAAGCCTTCTGAGGAAAGCTGTAAAACTCCAATTAACTTCTGCAGCCTTCAAAATAGATCTTAGGGCTTGGATGAAGCAAACCACTTGTGTACATCCTTAAGCCCATTATCTCCAGTGGAGCCACTCCTTGTTCTCAAGAACTCACCTGGTGAAAGGCTTTGCTGGATCTAACCTGGAACATAAATTCACAGTCATCCTGGCTCTATGTTGCTTTATCAACTATGATACAACAATTGATATGAGAAGTTTAATTTCTTGACTGTTGACAAAAGGGGGAGGGTAGCACTATTTCATTAGTCCTGTGAGTTTCATGTTTCAAAGTTTTGCTAAAGTAGAAAACCATGGAACTGTGATTCAGGAACTTTTTTTATTTTTTCATTCTGATGCTGACTTGATGCATGGCTTTGGCTGACTTCCTTAAGTGTGTCAGAGATTTCAAGTTTTAGAGCTTATTACCTGACTGTAGAAGAACGCAGAACCTAGAGACGGAACACAAAAGTCAGCTTCCCCCATTCCTCACACAGGAATATTCCTACACCTCACCAAGGGAACTCCAGGGTAGTGGCTGTTCTCCAAACCCATGATTTTACCATCAGAGATGAACTTTTTGGATCAAAGAAGGATCAAATCCACATGAGGGAAACCATGTGTGTCCAAGTCCAAGTTCCTTTAGAGGATTACCAGTTTTGCTGTGGATTTTGTTTTTCCTAGGATTTCTAATTACCTGAACGGAATTTATCAGCCTGGTTATTTTTTTCCTACTTGCACAGCTTATTGCAGTAAGTCATTTGACTCACTACAACAAGGTCTTTTTAGGTGACATGGGTAATCATAGTGTGCTTATTTCTGACCCTTGGTTTATAATCAATTATTTATAGTAAAGCTGATTTTGAATTCCCTGAAATGAATAAATACACTAATAGGCAAGTGATGTGTTCTGTCAATGCATTAACCAGCAAAGAACACCAAGCAGGAAGGGAAGTATGTCTGGGGGCTTCAGGCTCCTGTGCTGGTCCAGTGACAGCAAATATGTACTTATTTCTAGCTATAGACACTCCTTTCTGCACTGTGTGCCAAAGTCTGAGGCATCTTCAAGCCCTGACTTTGCTTGTCAACCCCAAGACCTTTAGCAGCCTGCAGATAATGCAGGTGCTGGGACTACCTCTTGGAGACTGGGGAGTTCTGGTAATTGCAGGGCTTGAACAACACATCTCTCTGTATCTGTACCAAGCCATACAACACAACCCATGCATGAGAACGAGGAGTGGCAGGGAAAATGAAGAACAATGCACAAATTGTGTTGGGGTTCTCTCCCATGTGATGCAGAAGTTTAACTTTTAATTGTATTTTGACTTTCTCTTTTGTTTGCATCCTGTTCTAAAGTTGTAAAAACATATTTACTTTCTGTTAGCTATTGGGAAAGCTGGCTGTGGTATTCTTTAATTTTTTACTTTGTAAATATTTGTGTGTTTAACCAAGTGCTGTGTGGCTGTTTAAGCAGTACATCTGCCAAAACTTTTATCCACATGGAAAAAAAATTACCCAGGCTAGCTATATGGCATATCATGACTCAGAATATCAAGAAGAGGGAAACATATTTAAATATATATATTCTGTGTCACATCGAGACTCTAATTTCTTGTTCAATGTATGCTATAATTTCCTCATGGACAAAAGCTAATGGGAATTTAGTAACCACTTCACAAAAACAGTTTAAAAAATAAGTAAAGGAGAAAAATCAGATCCCCTTAATAATCCTGTATGAATGCAGAGCATTTCCTGTTATGTCATAATCTGTGTGTGTGTGTTCTTTAATACAGTTGCATATGGCCTAGCATAAAGCTAGCCATGTTGTTTATAGGGATATTTTCTGGACAAAACAATCGACTCCTTGGTTTGAGAGCAGTCAGGATCCACTCCAAAGAAAAATGTTTGCTTTCAGCTCTGCAGAGGTTCTGAAGAGACAGTTAGCTGGGATCATACATAACAGGTGTGCAATACTGGCCTTCAAATTAATTTCAAAGTTGCATCACCTTGCTTTTAGCCTCCTACAGCCATTCTGTAGCTGCTAAAATTTCTGCGCAGTCCTATGGACATATGGAAAAAATTGTAGGTACCCACTGGGGGTCAAGTCCATGGGAAAAAATAGGTGTCAGCTTGTGCAAGAGCATAGATACTGAACCTCCTGCTTTGCTTTGCAATTGCTTCTTGGTATAATGTTTGCAGATGTTGGACATAAAGAGCAGTATTTGAGGCTAACTCAACCTATGTTTAAATTGGTGGATTAAGGAGTACTAGTGTGCTCTTTGATCTGGATAATTCCAACTGTTTGTAGTACCCCTCCCACTACTTTTGCCTTGGTTTCACAGGAAGGAAGCTTAGTGACCCAAGCCAGGAGAAAATCATCCAGATTGCTATAGCACAGAATCCCTAAGTGTGCCAGGATTGGACTCCACTGCTCGGTCCAACTCTGCTAATTTCATTACTACATTGAGGAGGTAAAATCACAGATTTTTGTGTCTGTATCCCCAACTCTGTAGGGAAATCCCAGAGTAAGATGTAATTTGAGGCATATAACTGATGTCAAGTCAGCATGTAGGCAAATTTTCCCACTAGAGCAACAAACTTTCAACAGTATAGTCCCCAGTTTTCAGTGTTGGCTCACCTGAACCAGAGGATTTATGGTCTGGCAGCAATCTCTGGGAGTAAATTTTTAAGTGGAGCTAACAAGCAGCTTCAGGATAGTCAGCAGCTTTTTGCATCATGGAGCAACATTGCAGAAAATAGGCTGAAGTGGAATGAGGAAGAGATCTATAAAGGTCTGCCTCCTCTTTCACCATATCTTCATAACTATAGCATCCCATTATGCTGTTAGCTCTTCAGAAACTGGTGGGCAGAAGAGCGCAGCAACTGCAGCATGTGCTGTGCTTCTCAAAGCTGTCTTTTGTGTATTTTCTTCAAACCCTTTGTGTCCTGTACTCTGTCCCACCTCTGTGATCCACAGGGATCTCCCAGTAACCTGCTTGTCTGACCCTGCACTTTCACTGCAGCCTTTCAGAGTCCTGCCAAAAGACCTCTGGCTCATTTCACACTGCTTCAAATATATCAGGCTGAGTAGTTGCATGGGGCTGGCTGGATTACAAGGTACACCCGTCTGCTGTAACTTCTGTCCTTACAGCCACACAGGAAAGAACTTGTCCCCCAGTCTGATTCCAACAGCACTCTGCCCTGCTATGGAAGTTGAACAGAGATCTCATGGCCAGGTACAAGCAGCAAGTGATGCCACTGGGCTAAGGCATGCCTGTAACCATGGATATCAGAGAGTTAAGCCCTGTGCAGTCTTACATATTCTGGTTCTTCATCTGCAGGTTAGTCCCCAATGACATACATGATTTTTGATACCTTTACATCACATCATCACTTGTAAAGTTCTGAGGGGAAGAGCCAGTGATTTTCCTTGCTGTCATCTTCTCTCTAACCTTTAAAAGGAACCTGTCTAAATTCCTTTCTAAAAGGAATTTTAGGACTGAAATGCCTTTTTTTTTTTTGAACCCTTCTTGTAATGTTTAGGATGGGACTAATAGAAAGCAGATTTTGATTGTGCCATTCGTAGCCCTCTCTACTCAGAAGCTGGTGTATGTATCACAAATAAACTTTCCCTAAGGAAGCATTCAGGTTCCATGTAGCTGTCATGTTGGTTTTTTTAATGGAAACTAATCTGCAAGACCCCCGGGACCTGAAGCTGCCTGATGGTAGGACCGTACATTTTGCAGCATCAGTACACACAGAGCACGTAGATCTCATGTTTTGTAATGCATGCAGGTCTGTGCCAGGAGAAATTTGCATTATCAACAAAGGATTTAATTCCACATTTCAGTGAATATGGAAAGTAATTAAAGGATGGGGTGGGATGGGGTGGGATCGCCCCGCCCGCGCCGCCTCGCGCCCCCTGCCGGCCCTCCCGCGCGCGCGGGGCGGGGCGGGGCGGGGTCACGTGAGCGCGCTCAGCTGACCGCGGGCGGCGGCGCGAGGCCGCGGTGAGCGCGGGGCCGGGCCGGGGGCGCGCGGGCCACTGAGGGCGGCCCCGCGCTCACTGTCCTTCTCCCGCAGATGAACGGGGACGCGGCGGAGCCGGCGCCCGTGTGGGAGCGGCCCTGGTCGCTGGAGGAGATCCGTAAGGGCAGCCAGAGCTGGTCCTTGGCCTCGGACGCCGGGGTGAGCGGTGCGGCCGGCACCGGGCCGGAGCCCGGCACCGGAGGGGTGCGCGGGCCGCGGCCTCCCCGGGACTCGGGGCCGTGTGCGGGGCGGTGCTGCCGCGGGGCTCGGGGGTGGCCCAGCGCGGGAGGGGCGCCGTGGCCGCGGACCCCCGGGGCCCCGGAACGCGGCAGGAGCGGCCCCGGTCAGGGCCCGGCGGCTCTCCCGGTGCTTTAACCCTCCGGTCCGGGCGGGGAAACTAAAGTGAGGAGTTGGCCCCAAAGGAGAAGCAGAATGAAGTGGCTGAGAGACTCGATCCTGGGTGTGTGTGCGGGTCCTTTAGTCTAAACCGTGTTTGTTTTGATGCTCAGTTGAAGTGTATGGTCAGTTCTGCCAAAAGGAAAAAGAGCTGCATGCTGACTATTGCTTTCCTCTGTTGTCAACAGCTTTTGCATTTTCTACAAGAGTTCTCACAACAAACCATTTCCAGGACTCATGAAATCAAAAAACAAGTGGATGGATTGATCAGTGAAACAAAAGCTACAGACTGTCGCCTTCATAATGTCTTCAACGACTTTCTTATGTTGTCCAACACGCAGTTCATAGAGAATGTGAGTGTGTTCTAGTACAGCATCAAACTTGTACTCCAAACGTTGGCGTTGTCTCTTAAAGGTGGAGAAGGGATTTAACTTTTTGGCAAGTCTGATGCTAATTTAGGGATAAGGTGACTTTTAATTGCTTTCTGTTAAAGGATGACCTAATTCTTTTGTGAGTGATGCACTCTCCAATACTGGTAGGTTCCCTTTTGCATGTTCTGAAGTACCTTCCTTCCTTGTTTATACGTGACCTGGAGATCACGATTTCATTTTTAGTACTATGAATGAACTGGGATCTCTGAAATGTCTTGGTTTATCTTCACAAGTTCTGTGAATGTAGCATTTGCCTGTACTTGTCTGTCTAAATATGAGAATGTTATACAATGCTGTAAATTTCCTAGTGGTATTATTTTACTCTAAAAGCATTTGGTGTTAAAGGTGTTGGGCTGCAGGCAGTTGTCCCTTATGTTTGGCTGCGATGACCATATTTTCTGGCTAATGTTGCCACTTTATAAATATTGCTATTTTGAAAGGTGAAGCTAGACTTGAAAGCCTGTTACAACCTTGAATCACTAGAAGCATGTGTCTCCTTAAGATATAGATCTTTAATAGTATTTCAGATTTGGGAAAGTTTTTTTACTGCTGTGGATTTTATCAGGCATTTTGTTTTGATCAGCACTGTTTTCAGGCCATATGTGTCTCATCTGAAGCCACGGTGTTATTGAAAAGATGGTGGCAGAGGAAAAGATTTCTGTTGTGGATTTTTTTTTGTGATAGTAGTGTTTATTTCAGAGCTGCAGTGTCTTTTTTGCCTAACTTGGCTGTTCAGCATAATGATTCTGCTGAGAACAGTTTGTACGAAATGTTTTAAGTCTTGTATGTTTGAAGCTGTTTCTTCCCAAATTAAGTGCACAGAAATAGGTCTTCATTTCTGGTTAGTTAGTGAGAGATCTATCTCTTCCCAGGGGATAACTGCACCTGTGTTTGAGATTTGGATTTAAGTTTGCAGCTTCCAGGAAGATCTTTCATTCCCCTTTGTCTCCTTGTAGCTGGTCCTAAAAAAGTACTAAAGGAGCGAGGGATCATCAGAACAAACTGAAGGTTGAGGGATGTTGTGAACCTTCTCTGTAAGTACAGGAGAAGGGTAAATGCTAAAGAATGAAAGGAAAGTAGACAGTTTGTAAGTTATCTGAATAATTCTGAGGGTGTCTAGAATACCTTTATGTTGGGAGGGTTAAAAGAGTGCATTTTTTTAACATATTCAAGTTAATCTGTGTACAGGGTTAAAAGGTCAACTCGTCTTCTACTACTGCAGTGACATTTGCAGACTTGAATTACTTCAGTTGCATTGAGATTGAAGACATCAGGTAACTAAAGTAATTCAATGCATAAAGGAGGCTATGAAGGTGCTTGACATCATCCATGGCTTCTTTTTTTAAACATGTAATGAATTAATGTGTAGTTAATTACATATTATTAGTGTGTTTCTTGGTGGTACCCGTGGTTTAGCCCCTGCAGCAGTATGTTGTTCTTACATGAATTAATTTTCCTTTACTTTTTAGAGAGTATATGATGAAGAAGTGGAAGAGCCTATTCCCAAAGCTGATGTTGGAGACAAAACAGAGCAGGTAGTTAACGCTGCCTAGAGTGCTGTCAGTATGTTTGCAGCTGTTGTCTCCCTTCTCATTTTCAAACTTACTTTGCGTACATTTACAGCTTACAAACCGAACTCTTTCTTTCTCCTTAAAGTCTCTCTGTTGGATAGTGTGTGTCATTCAGACATAAAGTTGACAGTAACAGTGTGTGCTGATCTGTTATGGGCTCTCCAAGCTCAATACTGTGTTTAGCAAACAAGACTTATGCATTGATTTTTCAAGTGGTTATGCATATTTTTTCAGCAAGAGACTGAGGCCTTGAGCCACCCTACTGGATTCACAGGTAGTGAAATGGGGAAGCAGAATCTGACTGGAATAATTCCCAGGAATAAAACCTTAGAGAGGTTTATATATCTCTTACAATCTAGGTGTATTATACCATAAATGTTCCCTTTATGGGTTGGGAGCACAAATATGACAATACTGTGCTGGTGTGGATGTTTAGAACATCTCTGTTTCTAGGAGTGATAATGATGCATTAAATCAAGCAAAAGAAACTTCCGAAGGTCTTTCTAATACGTATAGTGAGAAAGCTTTCATTATACTAATTTGAAATTAGCATTTTGCGTGTGTGTTGCAGTAAGATTGAGTCTTGAGTAAAATGCAATGAGAATGTGTTTTTTCTGTTACTAAAGGAAAAGACTCGGGAACAGAAAGAAGCTGATCTGATCCCCAAAATTCAGGAAGCAGTGAATTATGGATTGCAAGTTCTGGACAGTGCATTTGAACAGCTAGACATCAAAGCAGGCAACTCTGACTCAGAAGAAGAAGAAAGTAATGAAAGGGTGGAACTGATACTCGAGCCCAAGGTACAGAGACCTCTTCTTAATGGAAGCATGGGTTTGTGTTTTGCTTTGTTGGATTTGATCTTTGCTTCTGTCAGCAGTATCACTGCATTAGTATAAAATTGATATTCATTAGCTAAAATGAGGGTTTGATGACTGCATCTGAAGGAGTGCTCTTTGCCAAGCTGTTCCTTGTGTAGCCTTGTTTTGCTGTTAGGTTAACATTAAGGTATGGCATCCTAAAGAGAGGTAGTTTAACACAGTGAACTTGGAAGGAGAAGCCTCAATTCTGTGTGGGAGTGGGACATAGAAATGTCATGCTTTTTAGGTACAAATCATATCTTCGTGGGTGGATTTTACTCTCACAGTAATTAAGAATCCTAGGTACAGGATTTGGGGTAAGACTGATGCCTGTAAGTCTTTGCAACAATATTCTTTTGTTAGATGGCTTGAGGAAAGCAAGCTGGAACTACACAAATAGAAGCGGCCCCTTGCTTTGACAGTGTTAAATGGAATAAACCTCAGCTGTCCCACCCAGTTGCATGTTGACTTGAAGTGTATGTCTGGTGGGACTCTCTTTAAACAGGCTTGTAACTTCCTTGAGTTAAAACAAGGGGTGTGGGTGTAAGACTTCTGTTTTTGTCAGCCATGTAGAGCTGTTCAGAGATGTCAGAAAGACCTGATGTTGTCTCTTTCTAGGATCTCTATATTGACAGGCCTTTACCTTACTTGATTGGCTCTCAGCAATTTATGGAACAGGATGATGTTGGCCTTGGAGATCTCTCTAGTGAAGGTATGTGCTGGCATGACCTTTTATTTCTGTGCAAGTAG